TGCACATCATAACAGCTTTTACACATCTGGTCATATCAAACCAATCTCTTTACACTGACTCAAACACAAGAACATAGCCGTGATCTACCCATCCACTCAAATTTATGCACATGTCTGACACGCTCCACAACAACACTGTAGAAGCAGCTGCCTCACTCACTTTTCTAACTAGCCACTGAGTGGTTTCAGAATGACAAGCTATCTCTGACGCCAGCTTATTATTTCTAATGAAAAATATACCCAATTTACCTGAGTGTACAGCATGGCAGTACAGTGGAATCTTTCTGGAATTCATGAAGGCAATACAAAAGGGGACTCCAGAAAATCAGAAATATGGAGCCTAGAAAAGTCATCTTTCCTCACTAGACAAGATATCGAATGGTAAAATTTGATTGCATTTAGTTGAGTTATTGTCCTGAGGGAGCCATCACAACCGTCAAACATGTCAGGCTGTTGCTAAAATACATGGTTGCTCTCTGCAAAGTGACAGAGAAGGTACCATTCCTAGGACAAAAGCCCATATACTCACTGATGCTGGAGATATCAACCTGTTGCCTGCATGTAGCCTTAACCCCTACAATCAAATGTCCCTGGTGTGAAAAGGGATTTTGCAGATTGAGGAAAGAGAAATGTGAAAACTGTCACAGCCACAAACACATAGGCCTACAATCTGTCTTGCCTGTAAATTTTGATAGGGCAATGCTTACAGAGAACATGTGTGAGTAGCCAGACAATGTCTGATGGGATTCAAGGCACATTCCAAGAGATGGAACCATAACCAACACTGGCTGTGTAACCAAGAGACAGGAACTAGATAGTCCAGAACCCCAAGGAGAAAAGAAAGAAAAACTAATCTAAATATAAATTCAAAACTATCAACACATGACAACTAATAACATACTGTTTTATTCATATATCAGTTCCTTACTCATTCATCATCAGAAGCACCTCCTCTGGCAGAAGATGGAAACATATGTAGACACCCACAGCCAGACATTATGGGGAGGGAGCAACAACATGGGAAGTCTTCATCAAACCCCTCCCTCCAAGTTAAGGGAATCACATGCAAGAGAAGGCAGAGAGACCTTTAGAGCCACAGGACCAGAGGAAGACAAAAGAAAAAAAGCCCTCTGAATTAACAAAACCGCAGCTCATATAATCTTACGGAGACTGAAGCAGTGGCATATATAGATCTACCACAGAGCCTCTGTACATATATTATAGCTATTGTCTTAGAATATCATGGTACTCTGAACGCTGAGATTTAGAGTATCTCTGACTCTTCAGACAGCAGTTGGGACTCTTATCTGACCATTGTGTAGCCATATTCAGCATGGCTATGATAGATGTTTCTTCATATTATTGTATTTTATTTTGTCACACTTAGTTATTATATCTTGAAACTTTTTTTGCTAAAGAGAGAGAGAAAAGGAGTAGATGTTGAGAGGTAGGGAATCGAGAATGAAAAGAGTAGAGGCAAGGAAATCTAAATCAGTATAGGCTGTTAAAAACTGACTTTCTGAATAAGAGGAAATTAAGAAACTACAGTTTAAAAATTTAAAAGACACAGAAATGAAAGGAAAGAAAATCAGAACATATTTCTTTTTATATCTCCATCTATCTACCTATCTATCATCATTCTTTCCATCTGTCCATTCATCTCTCATTTTCTGTCTACACAGCCTTCTCAGTAACACAGTCCCAGTGATGTTCTTCTCACTGGGGTCTACACTGCTACCGGAGAACCATATATTTGTCAATGGTCTTAACCCAGGAGCCCTAATGAACTTCGTTCTTTCAGTGCTTGCCACTAGGAATGTGTCACATTATCTGACAAGTGTGGTGTCATGAGGAATCTCAGGGAACATCCAGGGACAGTCTGCTCTCCTGTGTAAATGGATATTCTTTTTTGTAGAAATTTTCTAGCAATACAAGATATGGAACTCTCTGCATGAAGGAACAGTTCTGCTGAGCGGAACATGGGGCTGTGTGCTAGCGCACTAGCTCGGTGTAAAGGAGGTGCTGTGTGAAAGCTGCGACACCACTGTGAATGCAGGAGCACAGCAAAACTGCCTCCAGGGTCATTTTCCTTTTTCCACAACAGCTATAATAGATTATATTTCCAAATATATACTTTAGATGCATTATAATTGCAAGGCAACTTTTACTTTCTTACACAGCAAGGATAATTAATCAACTGTGTTCTGACGATATATTTAATAAAGGAAAAAACTGATAATAAACATTAGTGACAGCAAGAAAGAAGAAAAGGGACACAACACAGGCCAAGTTAGTAACCCTAGGAGATCACCCCTAGAGTAAGGCTGCACACAGCTGACATCCTTAGTAATCCACACACAGAATTCTTTAATACCACCTCAAAACAGGGGGTGCCAATTCCTTTTCTGGAGCCTTTCATGGAAATTGCATGAGTAATGTGAAATTGAGAAATCGAATATTGATATACATATACAAATAAAAAGGGATTGTTAGTGTATGAGTCACAGTTATCCTAGGATCAAATAATTTATGAAATATCAGGTTTATATTCTTGTATTTTTCATAAATAAAATGCATATTTAAGGCTTAAATGCTCAGCCTATCTCTCTCTATATATATACATTTTGCTTTTTTTAAACAATAAAGTTGTGTATTCCTAGTGAAAAATCTAGATAGGAATAAATCCAAACTTTCTTTGAACACAATAATTTTTAAATGCATACAAAAGAAGAAACCCTACAATTTAAATTTTAAAGTCAGAAGAATTTTCACATGTCACATATGAAATAAAACCTCAATATAGTTAAAGGTATGGTGGTTTCTCAGAAAATTATGAATCAACCTACCTGAGGACCCACTAATGCCACTCTTGGGCATATATCCAAAAGATGTTCAATCATACTACAAAAGAATCTTTTCAACTATGTTCATAGAAACTTTATTTGTAATGACAAAAACCTGGGAACAACCTAGATGCCCCTGAACCAAAGAATGGATGAAGAAAATGTGGCACATTTACACATTCAAGTACCACTTAGTGGTTAAAAAAAATGACATCTTTAATTTTGTATGTAAATGGTTGGAATTAAAAAACACTATCCTGAGTGAGGTAACCGAGACCCAAACAGATGAATATGGTATGTACTCACTCATAGGTGAATACTAGCCATAAATAGAGAATATTGAGCCTATAGTTCATGATCGTAGAGAAAACAAGTAATAGGGTGAACCCAAAGAAAAACATATATAGATCCACTTGGAAATTGGAAACAGACAAAATCGCCTGACAAAATTGGAAGCATAGGGGTTGATTAAGAGGGAAGGATAGAAGGGGAAGAGAAGAAGAAGAGGGGAGGGTTGAGGAGAACTTGAGGGAAAGGGTAAGTCAAAACGTAGGAAGGAGAGAGATATCATGATTGAGGAAGCCATTGGAGTCAGCAGAAACGTGGCTCTAGAGAAATTCCCAGGAATACACAAGGGTGACCCTGGCTAAGACCCTAAACAATAGAGAGGGGGCCCAATCTTCACTTGTCCTGTAGTATGAATGATGAACATCTTAAATATCACCATAGAAACTTCATCCACCAACTGATGGAAATAGAAGAAGAGACCCACATCGGAAAACTGAGCTGGACTCCCAAAGTCCAGTTGAAAAGCAGAAGGAATGAGAATATGAGCAAGGAAGCCAAGCCCATGACGGGTTCACCCACTGAAACAGTTTACATGAGCTGATGGAAAATCACTAACTCCAACCGAACTGGGAAGGAAAAGGAATGGGACCAAAATAGAACTTCTGAATGTGGTTGTCAGTTGAGTTGCTGGGGCAGACTTGGGGGTCACTGGCAGTGGCACCAGGATTTATCTTAATTGCATCTACTGGATTTTTGGAATCCTATTCTCTTTGGATTTATACCTTACTCAGCCTAGATATAGTAGGGAGGGCCTTGAAGATTCCACAAACCAATGTGTATTACCCTCTCTGAGGATTGGATAGGGATGGTGTGGGAGGGTGTGAGGAGAAACTGGGAAGCACAGAGAGTGGTAACTTGGATTGGTAATTTTTTTAATCTAATATATTAGAAAAAAACAGAGTAGCTGAGTATGGGCAGCACAACAGCAACGAGAGATTGAAAGAGTAAACAGTTGTATCCACACTCACCGTCAGCCATTAAGTTGCTTGACCTACCAACAGCATCCTAATACAAGCATCTTCAGGATGCACAGAGGACCACAGAGGACCACTGATCTGGAAGTTCAAAGTGACATTGCCCACAAGTGTAATGATGAAGGGTCAGGCTGGTCCAAGAGTGAAAACATACAAAGAAGGGATGAAAAGTATACAAGAGAGTTGTCAGTCCAGCATGGGCCAGCACAGAATAAGGAAGGACTGTAGGAGAAGGAACACAAAGACAAGTGTCCTAGAGCTCATCATCCCAGGTGCACATAGTACACCAAGCCCTGACCTTGCACAGTCACAAAGGAGCACTTTGATCTCTTCCTTGGGTCCTGGACAGATGCTGACAGCACAAATGTCAGATGAACTGGAATGGCCTATCACATGAGTTCCCTCAACATAGCAGTTCTCCCTCCTGCCTGAGACTACTCACTGTATGTAAGTGTAGGCTGATGGGACACTCTCTGTTGGAAGATGACCCAACATATGTACATTCTACACCACTTCATCAATGAACCTTATAAGAGCACTATCATGATAGCGTAGGATAAACTCCATGGGAAGTGGCACTTCCATGCCATGATTGCTTCTTTCACTAGCCCACACCTCAGCCTCCATATCTACTGTTGGTATCCTGGCATCTTCTCCAACCAATCCCATCTTCTATTTAGAAATCAAACCTTCCCATTGGCTGTTGCCTCATTTATGACATCATTCTCCCTCCAACCCTACCAGCACCTGGGAGAATCTTGGTGTTTCCGTGGTGATGACTGTAAACAAATTTGGATCATCACAGGTCACAGGTGACCAGTGACCAGTGAGTGCTCTCTGATACTGGACACACTAGGCACTGAGGTCAGTTGATCAGACAAGGTTGAACTATTATCTTGCTCCATTGTACTTTGGATTGCTGATCCTCTCTCCCTGACCATGTCAGGTAAGGATAGAGACTTTAAAACATGTCATTTGATCTTCTCCACTGACTTTTACTATACTTTTAAATCTTCATTGAATGTGGATACTATTGCTGTTGATATAGATATCTAGATTTAGCTTTGGTTCTTACTAAGTAGTTGATTTTAGACAGAGAGCTTATTCTCAAATGTTTTCCATCCACATCTAGGAGTGAACAGTGTCACTAGGCTTGGGTTCTGTACTGTTGGGTTTTCATAGGAAAGTGAACAGGGAATAAAATCAGTCCCTTTTGGATGGTATTAAACTACAGAGACACAAGAACATGAACAAGGTGCACAGAGATCTAGCACACAACGCCACTGATGAGACAGTGTCCCACACACACACACTGCTGATTAAATCTTGGTTTAAAATTCAGGACTACTCTAAAAGTATTGGATGGTGGCACACAACTATAATCACAACATAGAGAGAGAACTGGATGGGATGAAAGTCAATTCAAGTCTAACATGTTCTGCACTGGCCTCTCTCCATACTCACCAAATGAATATAGACTATGGACAAAACAATGACTGCCATGTTGTGGAGTTACTTGGACTTTCCTAGATTAAACATGGAAAGTAGAAGAGAATAAGAGAACTGTGGAATCCGAGAAAGCAGTTGTACTGGAAGAAATATTGACGGTGTTGCTGGAAAGACAGACTCAATATAGACGGTGTTGCTGGAAAGACAGACCCACAGGAAGTCGGAGACAGGGGCAAACACAGTACAGGTTTAGAAAGTATATAAATATAAGAAGGCACACTGCAGAGAGGACCCTGGTGGTCTACAATGGTAGCTTAGAACACAATGCTGAAGAAGACCACAGATTATAACCAAAAGGGACAAGGCACTGTCATTTCGCAGGCCATGTTTAACCAACCATACAGTTCATATTAGTCTGTACGAAGGTTCCCTGGCACATATAGAAGAGAATATCCTGATCTTGTCCCTGGCTCTTACTCCATCCAGCCCACCTTCTGCCCAGTTCCCCATGTCTCATGTGCACTGGTGGTGTTGGATAGTATCAACTGGGGCTGTGAAGTCCAGTCAGTCAGAGTCTGACCATGGCAACTGAAACGCTGCTGTGAGGGGGGAAATTCTCACAAGGATTCCTCCTTAGAAGAGTTATAAAAAATTAACAGTTACTGAGGAACTGTTAAGAAAACAATTTAATCAACAGATATTAAATTGAGAAGCAATCCTATTCAGAGAAAAACCTCATAAAACATTAGCAGTATAAGAGGACACACTAAACTTGAGCAAACAAGAAGAAATTTTGTCAGCAGGTTGTATTTCTGAAATCATATTTGAATATTGCTTAAAAGTTATAGAATAATAAGATATCATTAATTATACAAGAAATTAAAAGGAACAGGGGGAGAGGGAGAGAGGGGGTAAGACAGAGAGAGACACAGAGAGAGAGAGAGAGAAAGGATAATTACATAAATTCAGTATTCATTTGTTACACATCATTCATGAAAAAATTCAATAAAATAGAGAATAGTCTGGCGGACATGGCAGGAACTCCAGAACAGCACTTTAGAGGCAGAACAGGCCTATCTGTGTGATTTCAAAGTCAGACTGATCTACGCAGAGAGACCTTAGGTCACTGTTTATTGTAAGATCTCCACAGAACAGGACTAAGTCCCAGGCATGGAAAATGGCTAAGGGGCTCCTCCCAATAAAAACTTCCGTTGTAGAATATATTTGTGAGGAAGTGTCACAACAGGCATTATAATATACAATCAAGAAAAAGAAGGGTGGTGTCTAGATCTGAGCGAGGATTAAAGCAGATTAAATAGGATTTCCATGCCCACACAGAAAAAAGCACACAGTTCATCAAATAATTGTCATCCTACATAGCTCCGACGATCAATTTTAACACATTTCTTTGGTATATGTAAGGGAACATTCATGCTAGACTCTCCCACACAGTGCAACATGGAGATTACACAATCCCTCCCAGGAAGCTACAAAGCTTCCATCTCAAATTTTTCCAACTCTCATCTTGCTTCCTTCAGAAAATTGCCAAAGTGCACCTTTCCCTGGGACAGAATGTGCTCTGCAGCCCTCTGTGCCTGTGCTGAGGAATGTCACACCCTCAGCAGAAAGTGTGTACAATTTCTATGGGGTCTGCACCCCAGCTGTGAGCTCAGCATGGCTCCTGTCATCAAACTCCAGCACATGTTGCCAGCAGCTCACAGACAGTGCCTGTCTTTACCAACGAGCTGGCACAACCATGCTGACTGAGCTGACTGACCAGAAACAGATCTCTACTTCGATGTTTTCCAATCCAAGTGTTCTCCACTGGGATCTCAGAGAAAGTACGACCAGTAGGGAAGCTCCGTTCCTGGATGCTCCTGTAACTGTCATTGACCAGAATACCATCCACTTCTCTTGGTCTATGACAGCCCAGTGTGATAATATTTTCCATATCAATGCCTTACCGCCATCCTATCCAACACTGTCTGCCTGCCTTGTACAGGCAACAGCATCAAATGGACCAGATCAACAATATATCCTGGCACCTTGCTACCAGGATGGAAGTCAGGTCTATTACAATGACCAGAACAGCCTGGGACCCCCGGTGGCTGAAGAATTCTGACAGCAAGGGCAGGCCTATGGCACTGTGTCCTGCTCTGGGAATCAGGCCTCCTCTCTGCCCTCAGAGATGATGATGCCACTAAAGGAGATTCAATCAATGAACGTTCAAACACCTTACTCCACCTCTCCCTTCTACTGGCCCACATCTGCTCACACCATGTCAGACACCAGCCTTCAAAGTGAGTAAAGCCAGGAGGGGAGGTGTGACATCAGCCCTCAGAGGAGACACAACTCTACCTGTCAGAAGTGGATGTCCACACAGAGGAAGAATGGGAGTCCTGACATGTTAGCTGTGACTCAGGCTCACCATCCCTAAATGCAGTCTTTATAATGAGAGAGAATGCAGGATAGTGACAGACATCCAACCTTTTTAAGACATGTCCTGGGGCTGGAGAGATGGCTCAGAGGTTAAGAGCATTGCCTGCTCTTCCAATGGTCCTGAGTTCAATTTCCAGCAACCACATGGTGGCTCACAACCATCTGTAATGAGATCCGGTGCCCTCTTCTGGCCTGCAGGCAAACACGCAGACAGAATATTGTATACATAATAAATAAATAAATATTTAAATATTTTTTTAAAAAGACATGTCCAAGGACTACACCACAGGAACATATTTTGCCACCTAGGCTAATCAGGCCCATGTACTAGTGCGCTAAAATCACCTCCTTCCTAATCTATATTTTGACATTCTAGATGACATCAAGAATTTTTCCTGTTTTTGTACCACTAAATTTATCCTGAGTTGAAACTAGTATCCAGAGAAATGGAACTCTGAATCTGTCCTGGAGGAAGCCTTCCTCCCACGTTCCAAGTGTCTGCTGTGACAATCTCTAACACTTAATCTGTAGTGACAGTTTGACCTGTGTAATATTGCTAAGCAGAGTGGAGCAACTCACCCTATCTGTCTCGCTCAACCTCTCTCTGTCTTTGTCTCTGTCTCTTTTCTTGCTCTATATTCTCCCTATTCTAGTTTCTCATTTTCGTTTACTCTTTCTGAATCTTCAGAAGTGACCCAAGGCCAACATCATGAAGTCATGTTCTCCTATTACAAAGTTGAACCTCAAAGCTTTTACAGTCTTACATTTCCATATCACTAACAAACATTCTGTGAAATGTGGAGCTTAAGGAATGTCAGGGCTTTTGAACTGCTTGTCTTTCAGGATTGAGGAACTGATATGGATACCTAAACCCATACAAAAATCCAGGCTTCAGGGGACATATGAGTAATACAATGAACAAAAAGAAACTGGCAGAGATGAGTAAGCTTAGGAAATAGTGAACAACACAACCTGTCTCAGAGTAAACTCCCAAGGCAATGAGAGGCACTGTTTCACAGGAAAATGGGAGAGAAATGGAAGAGCACACTCCAAGAAATTCTGTCACCTCCCCATGATCACTAAGAACGTACACACCACACAAACACAAGAAAAAACATGATCTCCCACGGACATGAGAAACAAATGAGTATTTACTATGTGTCTCCAAAAAGGGGTGCTTTTCCTGCTCCTCCAGCAGAACTCATAGGAATGCCTGCAACACTGCTGCAGGAGCCTCAGTGCTGAGGTGCACTGAGAGGGGGGTAGCATCTCACTTACCAGGTACTGACTTTGAACTTCCTCTTTTTCAGGGGTAAGGAGGGAGGCAACCCTAAGATTGACACCTTCAGGTCAGACACTCTGTCTACTGCAGAGTCCAGACCTCGGCAATGCCTGCACCCAGGATGCCCAGATGAAGACAACATCTGTCCATGGGGACAGGTCACTTATTGCCCTCATCCACAGTCCTTCTGAATTCCTGGCCTTGCCTCCAGCCCCAAGCCTGGAAAAGACACAGCAGAACAATGCAGATGAAATGAATCCTGAGCATTCAACACCTCTGGATTCCTACGAGGGCACAATTTCTAACCAAGATGCATCACTCCACCCTTTAGCATACCCCGGCATGCAGCAGCCCTTGAACTACAGTGATACTGGGAGCCTGAGGCAGAAGCAAGCTTCTCATAATGCCACTGTGGGAAACAGTAGCCTTGGTCTGGAAGAGTTTGAGACTCTGCAGAGTGTCATGGAGTCTAGTGTTGACTTTGCAGACATGACTACACTGGTGGCAGATAGTCACCTTCCCCAACTCTTAAACTCCATCACTGGCCTTGACCAAATGGAAGATCTCACAACAAGCCAAACCAAAGACTCCACAGACATCAGGAGGGATCAGGCCAGGGCATGCGAGAGCACCTTTAGCGGACTATCTGAACCAGGGATCAAGAACGACCAGAAAGTCTCTGATGTGCTTCATGGAGCTCCTCAGGCCAGAACCCAGCATGAGGATATGCTGAAGGAAGATGATCCTGGAGCCACTGAAGGGGCTATAGACTACATGGCCAACAACGTGGATAGAAAATCTCAGATATTTGAACCCAAGAGGCCCAGAGTAGCATGGGCACAGGGGCAAAACAAGGCCAAGAAGACTAGAGAAAACAACTCCAAGAAAACAGAGGAGCTAAAGCCATCAAATCACAGAGTCAAGGCAGAAGAAAAGCCCACCATCCCCAAGACCAAGAGGAAGAGGAATCCACCAGAGCTCAGCCATGACAGCTTTAAGAAGCCTCGCACTCACCTCGGCAGGCACATGCTGGAGTCAGTGCAGGTCTTTCACCCCCTGGGGAAGAAGAGGGGGAAGGAAACTGGCATCTCCTCCTCCCAGGCTCTGCTAAACTTCAGCAGCAACAAAGATCCCAGGACTGGCCCAACCAAAACATCCCTGGGAGATGTGCCCCGTGAGGGTCGAGGCCCTGGTAAAACCCCTGGCAATGCTCAGAGAACAGAGAGCAGTGCTCACAAGGAGTGTCCACCTCCGTCCCAGGATGAGCTGCCCTTGCCTGGGAAGGTCAAGTTAGTACCTCTTCCTTTCCTAGCCATGGACAAGCCTCAAGCCAGACCTGTTTCTACAAAGCTCCACTGCCTGGCTTCACACAGGCCCACTACAGCTTACCCAGTGAGGTCTCATTCCCACTCTGCTAGGCAACTCAAACTCAAGCCATCCCAACCAGCTCCTGCCAGCGCATCATTGATGGCCTCTGACAAGTCAACTCTGCCAATTGACACCAGTGCCACACGTCCAATTAGAAGCAAGCCCATCCAGTCTTGCACTGGGCCTCAACCGACTGCCTCTTTGCATGCACCCTACAGAGGATCATCTCACACTTCACTCCACAGGGAGCCTCTTTCTTTTGCCACAAACAAGAAACTAGATCCTTCCCAGCCTCAAATCCAATACCTGCTGCGAGACTTCAGCCACCAACCAATTCCATGGAGGAAAGTGGACATTCCAGGGCCAGTCATCTCACAGTCAATCACTGAAAAGCAGAAGCCAGAAAGGGAGGCCATGAAGAGGTGGGCCCAACAGGAGAGAGAGAATGCTGCCAAGTGTACCTCTCTGGGCAAACCACCGCTTTTCCTTCAGAGGGAGAAAGACATGGAAATTTCAAGATATTATGGCTATGCAGTGTAAGTGCTGTCCAAACCATTGGAACACAATGTTACTCAACATATACAGGTGAGATGTAGATACAGATATTCATGTATACATAAAGTTTAGAGGCTTAGTTAATGTGTAGACATGCAGATACATACATAGTAATGCAGAATAATATTTAGATATATGAATATATATGAATGGAAAGACATAGTTTACAAATTTATAAATATTTGAAGACACTATAATTGACTGTAGAAACTTCAGACTGCTATTTCATCCATGAGGATATACAGAGGGCTTTGATGTCTTCCTTAGAACTATACTATTATTAATTTATGTTTCCAAATTATGTAATAATATGTTACATAGATACATCATATGCTATAAGTCAGTGGGACTACTTATTTAATGTTAAAGCTATAGCAAAAAGCTCTCGTGGCAATAAAATTATTTTCCTGGACTTTAATTTTCAGGATACTAGGATGATGTGGGAGTTCACTCTGTATGCTGTGAATATGTTTTATTTGCCATTGCTTATTAATGAATAAAACTGTTTCAGCCAATGACTGAGCAGGGCAAAGCCAGGTAGGAAATTTGAACTGAGATATAGAGAGAAAGCAGGCAAACTCAAAGAGATGCCATGTAGCTGCCAAAGGAGAAAGATACCTGAATGCCAGAACATTGACAGTAGGTCACAGAGTCATGGTGATAACAGATTACTACTACTAGGCTATATTAAGATGTTAGAGTTAGTCAGGAATATGCTGGGGTCATTGGCTGAAGAGTGCTATAATTAATGCAGTTTGTCTGTGATTATTCGAGTCAGAGTTACTGAACATGGTAGGTTTCCTGGAGTGTATACTGTAAAGTGAACACACCCCTGCTGTTACCACACTTCCTCCTGTTTCAAACCACAAATATGAACCATTTAAACATCAGTAGTCTGGGATAAAGATATGCCTGCATTTTCATGATATGAAACACAGGGTCCATGTATACACAATCAAGATCCTACCTTGAAAGAAATTCTACAAGGCGGAGTATCTTTCTGAAATGGGTTGATTTGGATTGTGGGTTTATCTCAAATTGTATCAGTCTTTGAAATTATCCATTTGACATTTTCGTTTCTCTTTGTGTTTGTGTCTGTTTTGTCCACATGAACTACTGTGTAACACATGTGTGGAGTGCCCACAGAGGCTAAACCTGGGTGTCAGTTCTCTGGAGTCTGGAATTAAGAGAGACTGAAAACCATCATGAGGTGCTCAGAATTCGACCTGGGGACTTTACGAGAAAATCGAGTGTTCTTGTCTACTGAGCCATCTCATCGAACCCGAGCTGAATACACATAATGCAAGCAACATAACCTTACCCTCTCTATGGCTGCAAAGACTTGACTTTCTCTGTACATCACATTTTCTTCACCCATGGAAATACTGTTGGACACTATGCTATGTTCCCTGATGAACTGTAGACAGTGCTGCAATCAACACTGATGGGCAAGTACCTCTCTAATATACTGAGTTCTTTGGGAAGGTACACATGAACCATGTGGTGGGCCAGGTTTCGGCTTTGGTGGTTCTGGAACACTGACAGCCACTCAGGATGGAAAATATCCAATCACAGCAGCAATCGATAACATTCCTTTCGGCGAACTCCATTAGCAGAGTCTGTCACTTTTTTCTAGTTGGCCTTCAATGGCATCCACTGGAGGTTCCCTATGCATTTCCCTGATTCCTCCTGAATCAGAACATTTGTATGTGCTCATTCTCAGTTTTTCCAAAATCTGTAAGAAGAGTCCCTTTCTTTACCCTTGAAAACATGTGTTGTCTTCTTTCCTATGATTTACTTATTTAATTCTAAATCATCTAGATATTAACCTTCTAACTGAGGTATCACTAGCAAACATTTCACTTGGTTCTAAAGAACAACCCCTCAAATAATGGCTACTCATGCTGGCAAAAAATCCTTTACTTCCCTGAGCAACCACTGATCAACTGATATTTGAGTGCTAAAAATTTCCTCCATCCTGGCCTGTCCCTAGATCTTCAACTCTTTGGGCTATTCTGAGTTCTAATCATTTTACAGTTTGTTACACATTGTCCTGTGAGGCATATGGCATTAACCTTTTATGGGGTGACACATAAGAAATAGAATAAATTTATGCATGAGTTTAGTTTCTGAAGACAGTGTCTCTCTCCATATCCCTGAATATTTGAGAACAGACCTCGCTAATCAGGATAGCCTTGAAGTCACAAAGATCTGCCTGACACTGCCTCTTGTAATGCCTTTTCCTGTGTCCCTTCCTCAAGAGTGCTGGGACTAAAGGAATGCACCAAAATCCCAGGGGAAAACAACTTTCTGTATATGTGGATCACCAGTTTTCCCACCATGATTAGATGAGGAAATAAGTAAGCAACAGTACATTTTTGGTAGCTACCAAAAGTCCCAGAGGCTGAACTGCATGCGTTTACAACTGTAATTCAACACAGGTTCATTGTTCTGAAAAATTACTACTCAAGCAGAGATCATAGAAACGCCTTCCCCATCACTGTAGGGGCCTAAGTGGAGAGGGCACAGAAGGAGGGGAGCAACTCACTTACAAGTAACTTTTTCCTTGACTCTTTTTCAGTGGTGGAAAAAGAGATGTTGCTGGGACTAACAAATCAGGCCAGACACTACATCAGCTGTGATCCAAAATATTGCTAGTATTCCACCCTGGATTCCCAGATAAGGACACCACCTGTTGATAGGGACAGGTCGTTGACAGCCCCCATCCAAAGGTCTCCAGAATTCCTGGCCTTGCCAACAGCCCTAATACTAGAAAGAAAAATTTGAATGAGATGGCCACCAATCTGTCCGTGCTTATGGATCCCTTAAGGGCACACAGGAAACCTCGTCCCATCACTTCTCCCTTTAGCACACCCCAACTTGCAGCACACGCTGCACTCTACTGACACTAACACCCTGAGGCGGAAGCTTGCTGTTGACCATGTCTCCTTCTGAAGCAGAACCTTTGGTCATCTTGAGACTGGAACAAGCAGACTGTGATGGTCTCCAGTATAGATTTTGCTGACATGATTACACCAGGGCCAGATATTCACCTTTTGCAATTTTTCAAATAACTCAGTATATTAAATATAATCCGAGATGCACAGTATCTAATTCAAAGACTTCGTAGTCATCAGGAGGGAATCATCTGGAGCTCACGAGCAAGACAAAACCAAGAGGACCAGAGAAAACAACTTCAAGAAAACAGAGGAGCTGAAGCAGTTTAGGAAGAGTCGAGTCGGAAGAGAAGCACACCATCCCAGGACCAAAAGGAGGAGGGATCCACCTGTGCTCAGCCACCACAGTTTTAAAAAGCCTCAAACCCACCCCAGCATGTACATGCGGCAGTCCATGAAAGACTTTCACCTCTTGCAGGGGAAGCGAGAGAAGAAAACTGGCCTCTCCTGAATTTTTTCAACTCTTTCTGCTGCTCTCTGCTCTGTTATTACAAGAGTTTACTGAGCGTTGAGCTCTGGGGAAGTGGCACTGACTATTTGCAGGTGACACACAGAGAATAGAACTCATTTACTTATTCAATTTCTTTTAGTTTCCTGACACAGAGTTCTCTCCAAAGCCCTGTATGTCCTAGTTCTAACATCATAGACCAAGTGAGCCTTGAACTCAGTGATCTGCCAGCCTCTGCCCCTGCCGCTTCTTCTATTGCTAACTGAGTCCCTGCCTCAAGTGTGCTGAGACTAAAGATATGCTTCAACAATCCAGGTAGAATCACATTCTTTCTGTACATGTGGATCACCAGGTTTCCCAGCATGATCTGATGAAGAGTCCATGCGTAGGTCAAGGCAATTCTTACTACTGACCTAAAATCACAAGAGACTTAACTGAATGTATTAACTTAGGTGCATGTATTTACAACTGCAGTGGTGTAGGAGTTCCTTCTGTTTATGTGTTGCTTTCATGGTTAATGAATAAAGAAACTGCCTTGGCCTAGTTGATAGGGCAGAACTTAGGTAGACATAGAACACAGAACTTAATGCTCGGAGGAAGAAGGGCAGAGTCAGGGAAGCCATCGATCCTCCTCCTGAGATGGACAACAGCTAGAATCTCTGGTAGGCCACTGCCACATGGCGATACACAGATTAATGGAGATGGGTTAAACTAATATGTAAGAGTTAGCCAATAACAAGTTAGAACTAATGACCAAGCAGTGTTTTAATTGATACTGTTTCTGTGTGGTTATTTCGGGGATAAGCTAGCTGGGCAGCCAGGACGAACAAGCGTGCCCTCTCCCTTGCAACAATTGGTGCCAACTTGATGGAGTAAATCCACTTAAAAACCTGAGAAAGCTTAAATTTAAACAAGAGAAGTTTTCCTGACTCAGCCATAGCAAAAGAAAAAAGAGTCATGCAGTTTTAACATGCCGGCTTTCTGGGCTATGATGCTGGCATGACCTCTGGCTCTGGCGGGAGACAGAGCATTTGGATGGGGTTTAGGAGTAAAGTGCGACAGCTTGCTTGATGGCAACTGGACTCCCTGTGTGTCTGGAAGTGGAGCAGTGGACGTGCTCAGAGGCACAAGTGGCTCTTCCATGCTGTACTGTGCATAGCAAGCAGGAACTACCATATTTATCATGATAATAGCACAGCTTAAGTTTTAGACTGGGCAGGCAAACAGGTGGTACCATATTATCCATACTAATGGGGCAACTTAAGATTTTAAGAAGTGCTTAGCATTTTAAGAAGTGCTCCTGGACAGTAAAGAATTACAGATTCACAATAGAACAAATTCAGATATAAACGACCTCTAAATGGGTCATAGTGTTGGATATATGTACGTAGGCTTGGGAGAGAAAAGAAAAAGAGTATAGAGAGTCATAAAATAAAGTTAAAGCCTTTAAAGAAAAGGATAAAGTCTTTAAAGAGACAGATTACAGATAGTCATAGAGTAAAAGGACTAAAGAAAAAAGCCATGTAAAAATGGAAAATTCACAGAGTCTGGATTCTGTATCTTTTGTGTTTTCTTTGAATTTTTTGACCATGCAGAAGAAACATTTCATTGTATGGGCTGCTAAGCTAAACCAACATGTATATTATAAAGATATCTTGACTTCAGAATTTGGTCTAAGAACATGTTGCTTGGGGGAAAAGAAGGTTCTTCTTTTGTTTTCACAGATGAGAACCTGAATACTGCCTCCAGGCGAATACAGTTTCATGGACCAACAGTTTCTAAAAGGTTGCCACAAATACCTTTAAAAAATTACTTCACCCAACTTCTGACTGAGATGAACATAGCACATAAAATATGTCATAAAGACCTGATTAACAGCACTCCAAGCCAGCAGGAATCAATATGAACAAAATGATGCCCATATTCCCAAATATTGTTTATAAATGTTCTTTCACATTTAAAGGGGGATATGATATAGACATGAATAATTTGCCTTGGTATGGATCTTGGTTTATTGATACAAATTTAGGGTCAAATTTGTTATATGTGTATGTATTTCTGATATTGATTAAGGTATTCTGATTGTGTAAATCATTTCCATTGTTGGTGGGAATGCAAACTTGTGCAGTCACTGTGGAAATCAGTGTGGCGGTTCCTCAGGAAACTGGGAGTCATCCTCCCTCAGGACCCAGCAATTCCACTCTTGGGAATATACCCAAGAGATGCCCTTTCATACTACAAAAGCATTTGTTCAACTATGTTCATAGCAGCACTATTTGTAATAGCCAGAACCTGGAAACAACCTAGGTGCCCCTCAATAGAAGAATGGTTAAAGAAGGTGTGGAACATATACACATTAGAGTTTTACTCAGCGGTAAAAAACAATGACATATTGAATTTTGCATGCAAATGGATGGAAATAGAAAACTCTTTACTCAGTGAGGTAACCCAGACCCAAAAAGAGGAATATGGTATGTACTCACTCATAAGTGGATTCTAGCCTTAATTAAAGGTCTTTGAGCCTATAATTCGTGATCCTAGAGAAGCTAAATAAGAAGGTGAACCTGAAGAAAATCATATAGTTATCCTCCTGAATATTGGAGGTGGTCAGGATTGCCAGGCAAACTTGGGTGCACGGGGG